CAGCCTGAGGCTGCTGCTTTTTGTGCTTTGCAGTGCTTGGCCACTTGTGACATCGGGAGTGACTCATTCCCCTGGGCTCCTCTCAGTCCCATTGAGTTTAAATTCATCAGGGAAATACAGATGATGTACCATATCCTGTTGTGCTTTGAAAGATCCTAATGGAGTTGTGGCAGCTCACCAGAAGGATGAGCTGTTTCTCTTGACCTGTGGTCTGAAACAATACAGACCAAATCCAACAGATACAAGTCAAGGGGAATTTTATCCATGAGTTGCTTCCTCGAAATGTCAGTGGATCCAAGGCTGGAGCCTGAACAGAGGCATTTGGAACAGATGTTTCAGGTTGATAGAGAAGAGATTGAAGAGCTTATTTTGAAAGAAAATAACTGGGAATATGAAGAGGGATACAGGAAAGCCAGTGTGCAATTCAGGTGTGTAATCTGGTAATAAATTTAATTGCTGTCCCTTTATGTGGAGAGGAAAAGAAGTGTAACTGTACCTTGCAGCCATGGTAAAGGCTGGCAGGAGTTCAGCATGGATTGAGACTTGGAATTGTTGAAATTCTTCAAACATAGCAAAACAAGGCTGTGTTAGAATCAAAGAGCCAGGAGGGCAGGGTGAGAGCCCAGGTCCTCGCTGGTGTCTTGCTGTTCCTGAAGCCACTGCTGCAGGATGTTTATTTGGGGTGACGCTGCTGTTTCACCCTTTGCCTCTTTACCCTTTTTATCCCAGCTCAGGGCTCTGCCAGACGGCTGGGGAAGAGGGGACAAAGCTCCATCTAGTGTGGAAAGGGAGATGTCTGGGAGCTGGCCAAATGAGAAATCCTACAGAAGCTGCCTTTCCCTAGTCCAGGCATGGGGCTTGTTTTTTTGGCTGTTTTTGTTTTGGGGTTTGTTTTGGCAGTTTGTGTATAGGATTGCAAAGTGCTTTGGCTGTGCAGGTCTTAATTGAATAACTCTGGCATTGACAGCTGATGTTCATTTTTGGTACTCTGGAAGTGTGTGCAGGATAATACTGGCTTTAATGCAACTTGAAGTAGTCTGTAGTGTCAATTCAAGGCAAATTTAAATATATATCCTTCTATTAAGATTAGGAGTTCTATGGCCAGGTTGTAGCTGTGTGAAGGGAAGTGGCACAGAAGTATAACACTTTAAAGGTAGAATATCTTAGTTCAAGATGAAGTTCAAGATTTGTACAAAAATAAACTATAGTAAGATAGATGATAAAAGCTGTTATCCATTTATACTTGCATTATGTGCTTTTAGAAACAAGAAAGAATAGAAAAGAATCTTGTTTGTTCTGGAGTTTGTAGAAAAAAGCCTTTTTTCCCCCCCCTAAATACTTGCAAAGCCAGTTGCAGTTCCTGAATGTGGAAGGCAAAAATATTTTCAATGTATTAGGTATATATTGGCAACTAAGCGTCAAGCAGCCACTAAATTTCTGAATTCAGTAATGGTTGTATGAAAAAAAAAACCTGACTACAGGTTAATCCTGATTTATGTGGGTTATGAAGGAAACATTTTTTTATTTTCCTTAATCCACCTGTGATGTTCCATTCTTATCCAAGCACATGCCTGCTTGTCCTCCTGCCTGCAGTACCAGTGCCAAAGACCACTGGGAGCAATTGGTCCCTTCCCAAAGTGGTAGATCAATGTAATCTGTGGGAATTTGGGATCAAGCATCTCTGTGGGTTTTCATTGTTTTGGGGGTTTTCATTGTTTCCAGCTTGTTGGGAATATTGACCTGCCTTTTGTTTCCAGCTTGTTGGGATTATTGGGGATTGTTCCTGCTGGAGGAGGATCATGAGGAGTAGAAGGTGGTGAGTGCAGAGAAGGTGAAGTTTTCTTCCACACTGGTAGGCTGAGGTGAAAGCAGGGTTTGTAGCACTGACTTTTCTGAGCCAAGAGGATGAAGAAGTGGCAGGGTCACTTTGCTCCAGCAGCGCGTTTCCCCCATAGGTGCAGCTGCAGGTCCTGACTGAGAGCTGCTACAATACTGCTTTTTAGGGACAGCAGTACAGTTGACTGCTGGGCTCCAGCAAGTCTGGAGCTGCACATCATTTCCAGGTGACTTTGCTGCATGTTTATGAACCTGGCTCACTAATGTAGCGCTGTACAGTCGCCTGCTGAAGCCTAAAATAACAGAAGGTGTGAAATGCTGCTCCACAACAATGGTGGGTGCTCCAGCAGGTACTTTGCCAAGGTCATAAATGCTAAGTAAACCAGATTAAACAAAACCCTGTTGCAGGAATGCATGATTAACTGTAGTCTTTGCAGGATTTATTGGTTATAAGCTAAGCCCTGCCTTTTTTTTTTTTTTTGTCCTAGTAACTAAGGCAGATGTGAACTTCAAGTCCAGTGAAACATTTTTTTGGCTCTTGCCTCTGTTTACATGATTCAGGAGTTTGCAGTAGTTCCACAACAAATATAGCTTTGAACAGAAATAGCCATTCAAGTGTTGTGCTTCTGGCAGTGCAGAACAGATTAGGAGGGTCTGACAGAAAGGCTTGTAAATAGTTTTGAGTTGGCTGCTCTTTTTTCAAAAGTAAATCAAGGGCTGTAATGTATTTTGAAAAGTAAGAAGTGGTGTTCCTGCTACAAGTGGCACGGACAACATGGCTTAGTTGTCACTGAACTGTGCAGAACATGGGCTGTGCTGAACAGTTTTACTTGAGAAAATCCCGTTTTCTAGAAACTCAACATCCGTGTTAATCTTTGAGATTGTATTTGGTAGCATGAAGTTATTTCTGAAGATTTTTCCTGTCTCCTCTTTGAGATGTGCTTGTGCATTTTAGATGCAACGTAAGACATGCAGAGCAGAAGGGTGATTGCAAAATTAAATTAAGGCTGTGTATTAGCAGGGTCATATTTGAGGTGTTAAAAGACCTATAAATAGGTTAGGGTGGATCTTTTTGTATATATTTTTGACTTTGTGAAATCAGCAAGTATAAATGTTGCTTGCATGTTTTTATTTTGAACAAGACTTCATTCTGTACCATGGTTTTCATTTGGTATTTCTTTTATTTACATGTGACCCCATGTTTAAGTAATTATTTTCCTCATTTCCTTTCTGATGTTTGTGAACAGTTTCTGGCTTCAAAGAAGATGCAGAATTATTTTGTTGAGGGAAGAGGAGGAATTACCATAATAGTCCTTGGAGATGCAGTTCCCCAGTGCTGAAGGCTTTAAATCAATGCCAAATATTTCTGTGAAAGACTGCAGTTCCTGCAAATGTGGCAAATTTAAAACAGAATTTACAACTGTTGGGTGGCAGGTGAAAAGGTCCCTTCAAATAATATTTGCACTGTCCTGCCCCAGCCATCCTGCCTCACAGTGCACACTCTGAGGTTGTAAGCACTTAGAATCTGTACCCAACTTTGAGAATCCCCAAAGTTGGGATTTGGGAGAGGTGCCTGGTGACAGAAGGGCACTTTACTGGGTGTGCCTGTACCGAGGATGCTGCTGACAGCATAGCAATGATGCCTGATGAACTGAGGAGGTTTTCTTCCTGCAGGAGCCTTGGTTTGGGATTCTCCCACATCAGGGATGTTGTGGGGGCACTGAGTGGCCTAAGCAAGGGAATTGAAGGCCGCCTGTCTTCAGTTGTTTGCAGTTGGGCAATTCCTCTGTTTTGCTTTGCCTCAATTAGCAAGTTTGTAAACATCACTAATGCTTCCTTACATGGACAGCTGGAGCTTATCCCACCTTCCTGTCTGTGCTGTGAAAACCCAAGGCAGCAAGTCTGGCACATCTGTCCTGCAATTGCAGTGTAAATATCCAAACGGTTGGTAAAGTAACTTGCTGCTGAATAAGGGCTTTTTTACCCCCACCCCAAGTAGTTCAGCTTCCACAATCCTCTTTGCCCCAATAACTTTTCCACAAATAGATAAAAAGGTAGAAGAAACATGAGCAATGCTTAAGGGACTCTAAAATTGAAGTTTGTTCTGAGCATGGGGCTGCTGAGGAATTGGTTTATGCAGCCTGGGGAGTTGCTTTGTTAGAAAGAAGAGTTGCTAAAGACATTTACTGATCTGATCAGGTCCAGTAATGAACAGCTAGTGCAGTGGCTAGAGACTGAAATGAGAGTTTGCATAATATCTGCCCAAGACTGGTTTAATGTTACAATTATTGCAGTGATGGGTTGTTTGTTCCCTTGCATGTTGTTTTTAGTGTTGTGAGCAAGTCCTACGTGCTGACAATGCCAACATACCGAGCACAGAATTCACTGTGTGGTTCTCATCATGACTGTTTGGGATTCTTAATCATTTAAAGCAAATCTTCTATAAACACTTTCCCTTTTGCTCCTCAAGATCCTGTTTGCTCAGCATGCCAGAGCGAGGATGTCATCTGCAGGAGATGAGGCTTCCAGCTGCCTCATCCTCTTTGGAAAGCCTTGAATAGTGCTGTAACAGTGCAGTCAATAAGCAGAAAACCTTGGATGAATGGAAGGGTTTAGGCTGGGGATTGCTGGTCCTGGTAAGCCTTGAGGGACACCATGGCTTTTTAGCTGGGAAGGAGTCTGGGCATGTGAATTATGGATACAGGCTGTGGGCATTACATGGTTGAGCCTTATCTTGTGCTGAAAACTGCCTCTGTGAATAAACTTGCTATCCAGCTGTGGAAGTGATAATTTCTAAACCAAGATACGATGGAAAGGTGCTGTGAAGCCAGAGCTGGGCACTGTGTAGTTGTAAAGTATCAAAAAGTGTGGTGGTCATACGTCATCTTCCCTGTCAGCAACAGTGTTATCATTGCTGTTTACCCAGATTAAAAAAGGTAAATTCTGCATTACAAAATCAAAAACTACAGAGATTGCTAGTGGAGCCTTATCTCCTCGCTTTTTCTTTTATCACCTTTTGGTTGTTTTAGCAATCTGGCTTTTTGTTTTGCAAATTTGTGTCGAGCCCTTTAGAGAGGGAAGTGCCCATAGATGTGGTGTCTGAAAAATGGTTCAAAAAGCCTTTAACAAGGTCAGACTTTTAAGTGAAAGGCAAATCTGCGTCATGCCTTTTTTTCCTCTTTTATTTTTTGGCAACATTTTCTCTAAGTTTGTGATGGAAACTTCAAAAGTTGGAGGAAAAGCATCAAACCAATATCAGGTAATGCAGTCAGCTACATTTAAAATTCCTTTAGCCCTTCATGGGGCATTTTTGGGAGCTTGAGGTATTTGTGTAGCTGCGTGTTCTTTTCCAGCCTGTTTGAGCAGAGGTGGAGCTGGGGAAATGGTGTGTGCACTGTCACATCGGCTCTGTACCATTGCAGATGTAGTTCAAGCTCTTGAGGGATGCATGTCCACTGGTTCCTAGGTGGAGGTTCGCCTAGGTGAACCTTGAACGCGAAAAAGTTACATCCCAGAAAACAAATTTGTCTTGCACCCACCCTTTCCCTTCATCTTTTTGGTGATAAAGATCGTGAGAAAACGGTGCTGTTACAGACAGCCCTTATCCACTGATGGTGTTAATGGCCTGATCACACCCCTTTTAATTAATGAATGGGAGAAGTGCTTTCAGTGCCAGCCCGTGTCTTCGGTTTCTCCCATTCCTTGCGGGGCGGTGAGGGTGTTGCAGCCCCTGGGACCCGCTCAGCCCACGGCAGTGCCGGGAATTTACCCCAAATCCCGCGGATCCAGGTGCCCATCAGGAGGCTGCGCGGCGCTCCCATGCAGGTGAGACAGGATGCGGCAGGATGCTGGCTCCAAACTCCTGGGCTGTTTTGGAGTTTTTTCGTGGTACTCCCTGGCCGTGCTGCCTCCCTCCCGTTGTTTTCTCCTCGGTAGGTGCTGGATTGCACAGGTCTGCAGTGCCGGGAGCCGCTGCTCCCTGGGGATTGGAGTTGCCAGGTCCTTATCTGGAGCCTCCCCTGGAGACACAGCCGGCCCGGACGCTGCTCGGCTTTCACCTGGGGGTGCTCAGCACAAGCCCTTGGACACCAAATTTTTGGGGAAAGATGGAAGCTGTTCAGATGTTCATGCCCTGCTCCTTTGACAGCCTGTGTCTGTGAGTGATGCTTTGCCAGAGTGGATGAGTGCGGGGTTGGTTTGGCGTGGTGGAGGTTGTGCTCTGGGAATTGAGGATTGCTGTGCTTGGGACTGGCCACTGTCCTCTGCAGAGCCACAGCAGCTGGGCTGATCAGCTCAGCTACTGATGATGACTTTCAGGAGGGGAAGACTCTTATGTGTAAATATATATATATATGTATGTCTCTTGTTCTGAAACTTGATGGCAAACCGCAGATTTGGGCTCACAGAGGTTCAGTTTCTGTGTAAAAAGACTCGGTATATTATCACTGTTATAATATGGAAATCTTTGAGGATGCTTTAGGTTTGCAATTTTTCATCTCGCTTTTATCAGCAATAGTAGTAGAGGATTGTAAAATGTGACCTTTGCAGCTTCTGGATCAAACCTCTTAATTTTACCTTGTTCCTTAATCTGGACAAGATCAAGCTTTCCAGGCTATACTGCAAGCTGTGTCCCCAAGTAAATGGGCATTCAAGCAGATCAACTTACGGCATTTTATTAAGTCAACACTCATGCAAAAGCCACCTCCAGAGCTTAATAATTATTTACTGAGTGCTCCTGGGTCATGAGAGAGGTTTTCATTAAGTTCAGAAAGCATTATGTTCAGCCACTTGTGAAGGTGTGTTTTAAAGACAGGAAGAAAAATGGAAAACTACTACATGGTGTACAACAACTCAAAATTTCTTAGCTGAGGATTGAATATTTTTGTTTGTGGGGTTGGGTTTTGTTGGAGGGGTTTTGTGTGTGTGTGGGGGGGGATTTTTAAAATTTTTTTTTCAAAGTGGGTTGGTCCATTGAAATAATTTGATTTGAAATTCAACCCTTATCTCCTTGGTATAGTAGGTGTGCATGGTGGATGGATACTGCAGGGTTTTGCCTTCCCTCCCCAGCCAGGGGCACTCAGTGCATTCAGGCAGATAGGTGGGTGCCTTATGGGCTGTGTTCTGTTCTGGTGTTCAGCCCATGGTGCAGGGCAAGCAGTGCAGGTCAGGATACAAAAGCATTTAGGAGGCATAGAAAACATTTATTTTGATGATGGACCAGGGGCAGGCAGCCTATTTCTTTAAACATGCAACCTTCAAATGCGGAAACCTTTCATGTAGGAGCCTGAAACATTGTCCTGGCTTTATTATAAAGGCTGATAAAGGTCTCCACACCGTTTTTGTAACTGCTTTGTCCTTGGCAAGTCAGGACGTAGGAGGGTGCCAAATCTTGGGCTTGTTTTTTTTGCATTGATACTTCAAGCAGCGCCAGGCAGTTGGCGGTGAGCGCAGCGTCGCTGTAACCCACAATCAATTATTAAATGTTAGGAATGAAGTACAAAGTGCTCCAGGGAAAATGCTGTAGTAGTTGGAATCCCTTACCTTGGCTGAAGGGGAAGAGGGATTGTGTAGGGTTTTTTTTTATTGTTTGTGGACTTTTTGTGTTTTGTATTAGACTTTTTTTTTTTGGAGTGGTGGTGGTGCGTGCCATCTGGCTTCTCCTTGCATTTATTTTTTTCTTTTGCTATTCTTCACTTTTCTGTCACTTCTTTCTGAGGCAAGCAGCATTGCTGGCCAGCTGGTCAGAAGCTACTACAGGCATTGTTGCTTGAGCCACATATACAGTACAGGGAACAAAAAGTTTCTTGAGATTTTACTGCTTGGAAGAGAGACTGAAAACAGAATTTGTGCAAATCAACTTGAATTTTGGAGAAGCTCTAGTGATTTTCTACGAGTGGTGTTGGGAGCTGTGTGGTGGTCTCCTGTGAAAATGTCTTCTGGAGGTCAAGTATTTAAATAGCCACCATTATAGCATAGAACAATCTTTAAAGCAAGGAGATGAGAGGTTGCCAACTTCACAAGTCAAATGTGGATGCCTTTATTTTCTCTATGAATAATTATGAATGAGATAAGGGTAAGACATAAACAAAAATGTTTAAATCTGGTGTTATTTCTTTCCTCTGAGATCTGGTGCAACTCAGTGCGTTTCTTGAGGTCCTAAATCTGCTTTTCTTGGCTGATTTCTCAGTGGACTAACCCATTAACAGTTGGTATGGATAGAGGGAAGAGAGCAGCAGCCTCCCTCATATGTGCCATTTCTCAATTAAGAGCAGGGTAGTCCATCCTGCCCAGAACAAGTGGCTTTGGAGAGTCTTTGTCTAATTTGTCTAAGAAACACGTGCACACAGGAGGAGCTTTGCAGACAGCTGGGAATAAATAACAGGAAATCTGTCCATGTTTCCTCCCAGTGCTTGTGACAGAAGCATCTGGTTAGGCAGGCAGGTACTGTGCAGCAGCTTTTATCCCAGAATAAGCATTATTTGAGCTCACCTGCACTGATGGTGTGATGGTTAGGTGCCCATCTTCCTTTCCCAGTAAGTTAAGGGTAGGATAAGAGATGGCCCCAAGCTGTGCCAGAGGAAGTTTAGATTGAACATTACAAAGAGTTTCTTCACTGAAAGAGTTGTCAAGCACTGGAACAGCCTGTCAGGGAGATGGTTGAGTCACCATCGCTGGAGGTATTTAAAAGACACATAGATGTAGCACTTGGGGACATGGTTTAGTGGTGGGTTTGGCAGTGCTGGGTTAATGGTTGGACCTGTTGATCCTCGAGAGGGTTTGGCAGTGCTGGGTTAATGGTTGGACCTGATGATTCTGGAGGTCTCTTCCAACCTAAACAATTCCATGATTCTGTGGCAGTAGCTGCAGTCTGGCAGCATGTGGCTGTCCACACTCTGTGTTCAGGGCTCGTCTGCCTCTTTGCCATGTGAAATACTGAGCAGAATTGCAGAGGAAATAAAGCCTGGGAGCATCTTTGCCCTTTGGGGAAGAATTTGGCAGAACAGCATTTTCTGAGGCTGTTATCTCATTAAAAGACACAATACTTGAAGCTTTTGCTTACAATTTTTGATCAACAGTAGAGCCCTGGATCACCTGTGGAAGCTGGAAGGACACTTGGTGCAAGTAGGTAAAATAGTTGCATGAGCAAGATGAGGTTCCTGGCAGGAGCTGTTTGAAATGCTGTGGAAATAATTTCTCCCTCCTGCTCCCTCTCTTTCACCAACACTTTTGTATATAGGAAAGATCTTCTGAGATGGTTTCCAGCACACTTGGCTTTGGTAGGCGGAGAAACAGTTCAAAATGAAAGAAGGTGGGAGGAACTGCTGGGTTACCAATTTTGCAACATTAGGTATCTGTAAAAATTGCCAGTAGCACACAAATGAGAATGCTGACAAGTGTGGTACAAAATTGGCCTTTTTCCAACATGAGAAGAATGAATCCTTCCCTGAATGCAGCATTTGGGTACAGTCCTAAACAAAGCCAGAAAACTTCCAGCAGTGCTGGCTCTGGCTGTGGCAGCACAAGCAGTGCTTTGAGCAAGACCTGGAAGGGTTGCTGGCTCCCAGACTTGTGTGTCCTGCCAGCATCCCACAGGTATCAACACTGGAGTCGGAGGTGGGGGTTTCAAGAGCAGCTTCCTCCTGGAGCCAGGAGGATGACTGCTGGCTTGCCAAGGCACGGCCCATGGATTTTGGTTCTGTGGCCTAAGAAATGATGAGTTGCTCTAGAAAGTGTCCCTGCAGTCCGTGGTGAAGTCCTATGGTCTGTCCTATGCTCTGCTTGCCAATGGCTTAGATATATCTCTTAGGTGAAGAAACTGTGTTGTGTTGGCTTGAGCCAGCCTGTTGCTCTTTGTAAAGGATGACTGGAATAAAGCTGTTACTTTTGTTTATTTTGCCTGTTTTTTGTATCTGACACTGCTCAGAAGATGCTGGTGGGCCTGGGGTGGGAGCTGGGTTTTTTGTAGAGGTCTGTTTTCTAACTCTGAAAAGTCACTGCCAGCAAGCCCAACCCTAAGGTGGTATTATGCAGGAAATAAGTGAACTATATTTTGTCGTTTTTTCATGGGAGAGGTAAATTTACTTTACTTTGAGGTAGATCATTGGACTGGAGGATTATCCATACCAATCATTAGACTTGCTTCAGCTCTTTATTCTTAAGGAAAAAGGAATAAACGTGCCTACTACTGTCTATAAAAGCGTTTGTTTTTCTCGTGGGCAGTTGCTTTAAAATTTGAAAGAGCAAATGGCTCTTTACAGCTGGATGTTGGCGTTGGGGGAATGGTTTGGCTGCAGTCAGGTTGAGGCAATCTAAGGTGGCCACTAAGTACCTGAAGTTGTTCGGCTCCGAGTTCCCCTCTCGCGGTGCCGCGGATCCTCACCCACCGCGCCCCACGTTCCCCTGTAACTCCACCAGCTCTGGCCTCCGGAGCTGCCATCCCGCTTGGTGGAAGCTGAGCTGTCTTTCTCTGGTCTTCCCACAGCAATTCCGAGCATCCTGGCGCTTCCAAGCCTCCCTTAAGCTCCTCCAGCATGACCTCACGAATCCTGCTCCGACAGCAGCTCATGCGTGAGCAGATGCAGGAGCAGGAGCGTCGGGAGCAGCAGCAGAAGCAGCAGGCAGCCCAGTTCATGCAGCAGCGAGTGCCCGTCAGCCAGACACCTGCCATCAACGTCAGCGTCCCCACCAGCCTGCCCCCCGCCACCCAGGTGCCCATGGAGGTCCTCAAGGTACGCACCTTTCCGCTCAGGAACTCCTCAAAACCCGCTTTATTTAACAGGGATGTGGTTCTAGGCATTTTTGGCAACAAAGTTTTGCAAATAAGCTGTGCCCTGGCTTAGTTTGCAGCTTGTTTTGTTGGCCTGGTAGTGAAGAATGGAAGAACTTTTTTAAAAAGTTTGTGTTACTTTTG